TTTTAAATTAGTATATGTGCTTTCAATCATATATTTTAATTTTTTTGATTAAATAATTCAACTGATCTGCTCCGGGTACGTTCCCAGCTCCGGTTACGTTCCTAAGTAATCTTTTAAAAACTTTTTTTTAATTAAACAAATCAGAGTCGTGTGAATCATTTTTTTCTTTTAAAATAGTCTTTATTTCATTCATTTACTAAATATATAGACAGTACATGATTTATAAAAACAGGTTTACATAATCTCATTGCAGTAGTTTGGATAATAAATTCCATTTGGAACAATAATACACATTTTTTCTACAATTAATTTCATATTTTATCATAAAAAGTATATTTTCAAATATTCTTTGTTCTTTACTATTCAGTTCTAAAATGTAGGATTTGTAAATGCTGTAAGCAACTATACTTGTAAAATAATTCAGAAAATTAGTTTGAGAGTCTTGGCCATTATAACCAATTATTATTTTTCTATACGAAATATTGAGACCACATGTGTTGTATATAAATTTCCATATATCCTTTGACAAACAACATTCAAAAAGAATATGTTTCAAATCACATAAGTGATTGCAAATACTACAATGATAATAATTTGTTATACCATAGATAAATAAGTCAGTTAACCCAGGAAGTATGTTATTAATTAGTTTGAAATTAAAATTGGCAACTTTTTTTGTCTTTAATTTTGATGATCTTGCTAACAAAAAATTCTGCCAATTTATTTCATCTATTTTACATTGATTTGTTATACAGAAATCTTTTTCCCATTTTTTTGAGACAAACCATTTTTCAGATTTTTTATTCTTCAATATGTTATAAAAGAAATTGGATTTTTGGCCTCTAAAATCTAATTGAACATTTTTTACTTTGAAATTGAGTTTTCTTGATATATTTGTGAAGTTTGCTTGTTCTATGTTAATGATTTTTTGTATTGATTTCATTGCAATTGAGACTTGAAAATATTCTGAAATCCAATTTATTTTATTTCTCAAATTTTCTAGAATATAGTTTACATTTAAAAAATCATTTCGAATGATAAGACATAAATAATACCACTATCTATCCAAGATTTAAAGAAAAGTGGTTTGCCTTTTAATTGAAATAATCTGTTATTCCATATGGTTTGCTGGACTATTTCATGGTGTTTCAGATTTTTTATTTCATCAAGATCTTTACAGCTATTGAATGCTTTCAAAACTTGTTTGTAGAAAATAGGTAATCCCTCAAGCTGGTCTTTAGAAAATACATTCATTTTTAACAAAATATCCAAACTTGGAGCAAGTTTGTCAAAATAAAAGTATGGAATTTTGTTAAACATATTGTTTTTGTCGTATATACGGGTGATCCATACAGCTTTAAGAGCATTTAGCTGTGATTCTAAATCCAGCATATTTAGACCCCCATTGTCTATATTGTTTATCATAATAGTTCGCCTAATCTTGTCTTTCTTGCCATTCCATGAAAAGTTGAATATCAAGTTGTTTATTCGCTTTATAATTTCTTCTTTAAAAGATAAAATTGATGCTGAGTAGATAAGTTTTGATATAGCTAAAGATTTTATAACAGTGATTTTTCCAAATAAGGTAAGGTGTCTTTTTTTCCAAGAATCAAGAATTTTTTCAAGGTCATTTATTTTCTCATTCCAATTTAAATCATAACATTTATCTTCATTGTGACCTATATATATGCCTAAATATCAAAAGTACGATTGGTTCCAAGCCATATTCCTTCTGTTCTTAAATTTAGTTGAAGTCCCGAATATTTCGAGAATTGTTTTATAATTTTTAATGCTTCACTTATGGATGCTTTATCTTTGATAAATAATAATGTGTCATCTGCTGATTGTGAAATTTTATATTCTGTGTTATCAATTTCTATACCCTTTATTTTTTTATTTTGAACTATTTTCAAAGACATAACTTCACAGCATAATATGAATGAAATTGCAGAAACGGGGCAGCCCTGCCGACATGAGCGTTCCATTGGAATATTATGTGATAGCCATTCGTTTTGTTTAATGTTAATAAATGGATTTGTATATAATAATTTAAGCCATCTGATGATGTTATCGTTAAAATTAAATTTTTTTAAAGTTTCAAACATGAAGTTCCATTCAATAGAATCAAACGCTTTCGTAAAATCTAAAAATAGAATTGATCCTTGCCCTTTGTCATTATTTTTAAAATACTCAAAAATATCTAACACTAAGCGGCAACTGTTACCAATGTATCTACCATTTATATATGTAGTTTGGTGTAAACTAATAAGTTTCCCAACTACTAACTGTAGCCTGTCTGCAAGTACAAATGCTAGTATTTTATAGTCAGTATTTGATAGACTTATTGGCCTATAATTTTTTAACAATGCTCTATCACCTTTTTTAAATAACAGCGAAATGATGATTTTTCTAAATGAGGTTGGCAATGTGCCAGTATAAAAAGATTTATTTATAGCATCTAATACATAATGTTTAATGTCATGCCAAAAATATTTATAAAAGTCTGATGTCAAGCCATCAGAACCTGGCGATATATCAGATTTCATCTTTTTAATTACAGCTGAGCATTCTGATTCGGTAATTTCACCTTCTAATAATTTATTATCATTCTCATTAAGTTTTTTGGGAAAATCAACAGAGTCCAAGTAAGCTTTTACTTTATTTGTATTTTGGGCTTTTGAGGAATAGAAATAACAGAATTATTCAAAAGTATAAGGACTATTCTGTACTTTTTTCAAAAGTCTATACTTAAATGTTGTGAAAAGTTATAATCGAAAAACCATCTTTCGGAGTAAAGTCTGTCTGCGCCGATTTCAATAACTTCGTACTTGATCAGAACTGGGTTCCAACATAATTCCTACAAACTCATGAATGAAATAGTCATTGCATGGAATACTTACTTTTGTCAAAATCAAAATAGAGCTCTAGTTAAAAAATATATTTTGCTAAATTATTGCCATTTCTTAGTAAAATGTCGTTCTCCGGTACGTTGCCAAAAGTATTCGATGGTACCCCGTGAAAATAATCCTTTATATCTTACAAACTATTTGAGAGATTTGCCAAAGTGAACGAGGTGTCGAAAGGCACTAATTGGACGATTAATTAGTATAGCATTCCTCATTTCTTAACTAGTTCAATCAATACAACCAGTGTAGATCACCACATAAATGCCAAAACAGCTATGGTCAATGTGTCAATTGTTTCATGCTGGACATGTGCCAGTGTTTTGAAAAATCCATAGATTACAGTACTCAATCAGCTTTGATTGATTTAACTGAACTAGTAAACCAATAATCAGAATCACACTACAGCATTGCAGCATTGTCTGCTCCTCAGATTCTCTCATAAGGGAGCTACTGTATTTATAAGTCTGTTATAATTATCACACAGAAGTACATGCTTATTTGATATACCGAATGGTTATTTTACTATACTGTAAGTAACCCATAATCAAGTCACATTGTGTTATGTGTTAAATAAGGTAGGCTATCTACAAGCCTCTGTGACCCTCCCCCCTCTACTTGAGTAAACATCTTCTCACACATAGCCTGAGCTAGACACAAAACAGTGCAATTAAGAAGGGATATTTTGATGTACAAAGCTAAGTATTTGTGCTAAGACTGTAACAAAGAGTTTTCGTAACATGCTTGATATTTAAAATTGATGGTACCAATGAAATTACAGTCAATAAATAAATGAGAATAATTATGAAATAAAATAAAAAAAATGAAAATCACATAACAATATATGTCAAATGTACTTGTATTAATCATGAGTTCTACATTCATACCAGACATACACTGCACAATGGAATGCAAAGCTAATTGGTCAGCGCCAATGAGCCCAGTGCCAAGGATCAAATGTACTGCTGGGTGCAAATATGATAACAGATTGATGCAGTTCAAATCTTTGCTAATTGTTCACATTAAATATTATTAACATTGTTAATGGTGGTGCTTTCAGTGTTAGTGATAATTTGATTGAGAGAAGTATTTTAAAGATAATTTTGTATCAAAGGATTTCCTATTTATGATCAATTTTTACAAATTTCATTGACCACGTATCGTCTTGTAATAGAGGATACATTAAAAAAAAATTCATTGTAGATATCCGCTACATCACAGATAATTATATGGTGTTTTCATTAATTAACGTATGCACTGGAATATACATAAAACAAAGGGTATGCATAGCAGGGCCATAGCCCGCTTTCAACCAACTGAGGGGGGGGGGGGCTGCGATCGTAGTATTTTAATAGAAATTGGTGCAACCTCCTTCGAAATTGAGCTAAAAACTTCAAAAGGCATTCTAAACCTCTCATCTCTTTTTTTGGTTGTATTTTTTTTGGTGGGGTTGAGATCGCACCAACTGCAACCCCCTTAACTCCTTGCAGTAACGTTAATTCAAGTGCCTTTGAATTCGTAAGACAAACCACAAGACAATACCTCAAACAGCTTCGAAAATCTCTCAAAATTGATAACAAATAGTTGTCCTCACTTCTTTTATAATCAATCGGACTATATTTGTTAAAATTTAATTTCAATTTTTGAATTTCTCTTATAAAAACGCATTTCACCCCAAAACACATTTTTCATATAATAATTTTTCTAAAAATGTTCTTTTTAACATAAAATTATTTTTGCAAAAAACACATTTTTTACCCAAAACTTACTTCGACACCTATTTCATCTTGGCAAATCTCAGTATCAACAAAGGGACCCTTTACCTTTCAATTATATACTATGATTAAGCTGCTCGTCAAAATATGTTAATGGTGTCTATGGTTTTACTTTTGCTTCTTTATTCATTAAATTCAAATATATTCGATATATGAAATATTTATATTCGCTAAATCATTTTTCCATTCGGTAAAAACGTTTATTTGTTTGTTACAGCAAATTAAGTTTTCAAAATAGCCAATCACTTAATACTATGTGCATTAAATTACATATTTCATTCGTTAAATTATATGTTCTATACATGTACGTATATATAAACGAATTCAGAGTTGTACATCGTACATTATGTAGTTTTTACCGTAGTTTTGTATTATCCACGCTGCAAAATATTCCTATCTCCCAAATCATGAATTCTTCTTTTTAACAATATGTTTTATATAGAACTGAATGGCTTCTTTTACTTCGTTGACATCGACGTTCAGTGTAGATTCACAGCCGAACTGTGAGGACACACCATGATAATGATGACCGAGGAAGATTGCTAACTGTCTGTAGCATAAATTCAGATGAGGATGGTTACACACTATCTCAATGACAAACAAACCCGGAGTAGAAAACAAAGTGTTCGCTAGCCCAGCTCCATGTGGTGCAACCACGAGTCTGGCTTGGTGGAATAGATTTCTCGTGTCCGAGAATGACGGAAGTTTGTCGTCTGCGTAAATAAAAAGTTCCATATCGTTCTGTTTCGCAATATCATTCAGAAATGAAGCTATTACGTCGTGCTGAACTAAAATTCTATGTTTGGTCCTTTTTATTAAGATGATATAGTTTTTGGGTGGTATATGTATACTTAAACCTATATATTTATTGAACTCCCTCGACATCTGATATACTCCCGATTGGGAGGATTTATACATACCACAGGGCGTACCTTCCGGGAAATACACTCTCGCTGCGAGTATCGGTCCAATTTTATCACATATCACCAGTTCAGATATGTTTCTAGAGGGAAATATAGTCTGGAGTGACGACTTCATGAACGAAGTGCAAGCGACATATATTTTGATATCATTGCGCTTGTCTATAAATCCTATATATCGTGATAGTCTTGGGAGAGATTCCACCATTCCGTGGTAAAACTCGCCTGACCAAAACTGTGTTATTACAAATACTTCTCCGTAACGCGGTAACTGATCCAGTTTATCCTTAATTGTTGTACTAAAATGTTCTTTAGATGCCTGTATCGCTTCTGGTCTGTCGAGACAACTATACGGTATAACTTGCAGGTCGCCGACAAAAACCACACCATCATTCGAGATGATTCCGTTTTGTATTATATGAATAAAACTAGATATTGTCCCCCATTGGAATAGTTCTTCTGTGAGTGTATCATTTACCGGTAATTTGAATCGTGGTTTACGTTCAGGTCTTTGTGCGGAAAAGGTCTCCTCCATATTTGTAGTACATGAGTTGGAATATGGTATATTGCCTTTATAATTGCCAAGTGCCCTACACAAAGATTTGCTTCCTATCCATTGAAATACACCATGTCCATCTTTGTCAGAATCCGTTGTTTGAAAAAGCAACGTTTTGATATTGTGCTCTGTGGCAATGTGGGTAAAATAATCATCTCGACTTGAAGTAACGTCTTTGAATATGCCAGATTGGGGCATTATAAAATGAGCCACTCGAGACATTCCCGATCTGTGTTCATTCAGATGTTTTTCTATCGCAAAACGGTTGTCAGAAATCGTAATGAAATGTGAATGGATTTCAACGTAGCGCATTGAACTCTTGTATGCAGGTTTGGGAGGCTTACCTTGTGTTGTGTCAAACACGATATGGTTAAGCGCCATTATAACTGCGAGGCAAATGATGGACAGCATGACTTTCCTAAGATACTTCATTATAAATCCAACTGTACATTACGACGCTTTGCTATTATAAGCAGAGGTGTATCTCGTAATACTTAAATTGCGAGCTGAAAGAGTTGATTTTTATTGGGGTATGAAAGCATATCAATTTCCGCGTTGTTTTGTTTAATGTGTGTTTTAAGTAATTTGCCTAAGCAGGACAGTTAATTATAAAAACACATCCAATTGGGTTGTTTTGGTTTAGATCACAAGCTAATGAGGTGTGTATCAATGATTAACTTATAATGATTAAACTTTTACCTAATAAGTTGCCCGTTTATCAATACAGTGCTGAATCTGAGACTAACATATGTTACTCTCAGGCTGAATATAGGGCAACAAGATACTACAGTCAAGTCGAGTTACTAAGTCAACATTCGAAAATAAAAATCTCAAAAAATCGTACATCTTTGATTTCCAAAATAATGTCTGTGGTGGTTATTAAGATGATAATACACATTTTAATGTTATTTTCAGTACATCTTATCTGGGTCATATTTAGGTGACATTGAATTTATCCTCGGGGGATATTGCTATTAAATATTTGGTTGATATTTGGTAGATATGGGACTGATGTTCGACTGGAGTTGGGATAATATTAGACCAATATTCATATCGGGGTGATATTTGATTGATATATGGCTGATATATTTCATCAGCATTACAGTATTCAGTTTTGATGAATTTCCTCACCTCTTTTTGTTCTAGCTAATATGTTAATTGCTTTCAGGTTCTGTTTGGTATATAGGATTAGATTATTGCTGTGACCACACAAAGACCAAATATGGTGCTTCTATCTCGAAACAGAAAACCATCCTTTTGATACAACTTATGTACCTTACGAGGAGAGAACAGAGGTGTCCCACCAACTGAGGATTGCTCGTAACCAAGACCTAGCAAATGAAGCAAAATCTAAAAGTTGCAGGCATCATGCAGTTGAAGTAGGTTGCAGAGGCTTTACAGCCACCTCCCGACGCCAGATGTTAAAGGACCTGGGAATACGGAGTCGTACGCACGTTGGCTCTGGCTGCGGAGGAAAGATAAGTTGACTCCAACTACAACATAGCAACCAACCCAGTCCCACTTTAGTGTAGAGTATATCCCTCTATGACTATTTTCAATTAACCATTGTATGCGGAGTCTGATCAACTCTGCAGGGGCAGCCTTCATCCCCAATCAGGTATATTTTGATGCGCCCGAAACCTCGAGGAGGTGAGGTACTGACGATGCGACTAGTCCACTTTACAGTCAAGTCCAGTGACTAAGCCAATATTTGAAATTAAAAATAATAAATAATTTGAGGTGGTTATTAAGATGATAATACACACTTAAAAGGATTAGATCGTCCAGATTTTTCTCCCGGACAACCAGTAATACAGGGCGTTCAGTAAGTAAAGCTAATTTGGTCTCAAACTTTTATTTCTTGTCTATCATCGTTCAAATTTTCCTGAAAAAATGATCAAGATATAATGAAAAACAGCAAAATGGTGGTTGTCATAGTAACGCAAATACGGGTTCTGCGGATCAATTTTATAAGTTCACAGCATAGTAGATTTTTTAACGTTAGTTTCTGTCCTGTCTATATTTCAACCATAGTTCTGTGGCTACTCCACATTCTTACTTTCAAGTTAGCATTCTATTTCATTATCAAAGTAGTTCCCCTTAGCTTTCACACACAGCTGATGTCGTTCTATCCACTTCTGATATATCCTGTGGAAGCCATCTGGAAAGTTCTTTGTCAGCGAATGTTGAACGGCATTCTGAAGCTCATGGATATTTGCGTGGATCTTACAACGCAGATCATTTTTCAAACATGAAAATACCCCAAAATCGCACGGTGCCTTGTCAGGAGAATATGCTGACTGGCCTTGAACCTCCATCTCCAGCGTTTTCTGGATAGTATCCTGCACCATTTGCGACCTATGCGATGGCGCATTATCTTGATGGAATATGTAGGAGTTGAGAGTCCTATGGGGCCTCTTCTTGCGAATCGCGTTCACAAGATGGCACCGCAGCACCTGAGCAGTGTCTGATGGATCATTCTGGATCATTCCATCTGAAACTTTCAGGTCTTAGAGGCAATAGGATGAAGTTATAATACTGAAAATTTCACTTATATACTATTTAAAGTTTTTGAGATATTAAGTCTCAAAGTTCGGGACGTTTTTTTATCCACCCGATATATATATATATATATATATATATTGAGCCCATATCATGAGCACAGTTTTACCAATATATTGAGAAAATCAACAGGACAACCAAAGAGCAACCACATTTTTAGAACACAATAAGTGTAAAACAACATACAGTTTTTTTTAGATGACTTTATATTGTAAAACCCTTTTAAGTTATTGAAATAACATTCCCAAAGGATAATGTATAATATGTTGTGATGAAAAAAAAGAAAAAGAAGATTGCCCAAGCCGGGATCGAACCCCAACCTTTTGGACAAAAACTGAGTAAAAATAGCCCGAAACGCTACGCACTGTGCCACACTATACTGCGTAATATTACAGAAATGTAAATAATTGAAAAAAAGTAATGTAAGTGCGCTTCTTTTATTTCAAAATGATTAAAGTATATGACTGCTATTGTTGAAATGTATAATCTTCGGAAGATTTTCCACCAGATTCAATAAATAACGATGTTTTATTGGGCATCGAACTTCCCGTCGTCAGTCTTGGCAAATACAATTATCGGTTGCCGGGATATTGAGCTCAGGCAGCCAATCACATATCGGAATACATTGAAGCGGGCTATTTCAATTTTATTTCGTACATTTGTCGAACAAAATTGATACAGGATGAGTTGATGCTGAGAACAATCATCAAATTGATACCGTTAACGAGTTGCCTGAAGCCTCAACATTGGTAAGTCGATAGAAATACTTGTTTTACATAATATAACACGAAAATACCAGAGGGGTTACTCATATTGTGCTTTTGGACGACCCGATCTTTTTAAACGTATTAATGTTGAGTACATCTCGAATCAATTCTCACCAAAGCGTTCGCGAAATAAGTATTCGAAAGAACGAATGGCTATAGACACCCCTTGGGTCACTTAACATTTTTTGAAAAATGCAATGTCATTAATATCCTTGATATGTAGGATCAAATTCTAAATAAATATGTATATTTTCAAGAAATAGCAATAAAAAGCATTCAAGATTACTGATATAAGTATATTTTGGTTGATTTGGGAGGTATGTATCACTCCCTGTGAAAATGTGAATTTTTTATCAGTCTCAGAAAATGTCTCCAGAATGTATAAACTCAACTTGGCAGATGTCCCATTGTTTGATTGTGTCACTCTATACACTCATTGGATTAATATTTTGTACACATAAATAGTCATATTCCAATAGTCATTGAGTAGGGATTAGTTATGTGTGCAATTGTGTTGACCTACTTATTTTTAGAGAGAGGAAGGTCATGATAAACTCTTGATTTGTTCATATAACGCCTGGTTCTTACCTAGAAAATTATATGTAGCAAGATAATAGTGTACTTCTAAGGTACTTCTTGAGATATGTAAAAATCTAGGTAAGGACCAGGCGTTGTGCAAAAATGGAACTTTTCTGCAATTTTCAGCATGAAATAAAATGATGTCAGCCATTTTGAAAATCCTTAGAATGATTGTGACAGTTGTGTTTTATATATTTGAGTATATTTCCTTATTCATATGATCTTTTCATGAACTAATATGTATGCTTGCACTGGAGCATGACCTCTTAAGAAGCATATATCTTTACCATGGCTCTAAGCAACATTAAAATATGGAATTCCTTTCAATACATTCATATGAAATGATTGTTGATTGTTGTACAATCATTTTATCTTCATGTGACAGGCGTCATTTTTGTCAATGAATAATTTTTTATATTATCAAAGTTCACTGGCTGATCATACCAATGTTCACATTTAGAAATCCAGCTCAAATTTATTATGCAGAGGAAATATACCGTAAGTCACAATCAGTAGGCAGGAAAATAACATTTGCTAATTAAATGCCCAAAGCAAAGGGAACTGTATGAGTGAACTGCAATCTCCCAGTACCCCCTGTATGGAGACAGAGGGTTACATCTAAATCATAGTGGACTCTCATGAGATCAAGCCAACCAATCTAACCGATACACAGACAACCATCTTCAAGTAGATGGGAAATATACCATCATTGTTAAAAAAGAAACATGTGGCTAATTTGTGTAAAAGCCCAGTAATCGGTTTGTGTTCTCTAACTCTCATTATACAATGGTGGAGTACAACCCAGATCCAGATGTTTTTAATAGTATTGATGCAATAACGGGATGGTGTTCTACATGCCAAGTTGGGAGTAGCGTTGTAGGCAAAAGGGGTATAAAAGCAAAAAGAAATGCACAAAGTTTGACATTTTTAAATCAAAAGATATGTCTGACATTTTAAAATCAAAATATATGTCTAAAATGTTGTCATCTGAAGAAGATGATGATAGCTCATAGAATCTCTTATTATAATGAACAAACACATGAATGTGCTCATCAACAGTTATGTAAAGTCCAGGGTACCTTTTTCGAACTTGTTATATTATGTGTTTTCAAATGTTGCTCTTTGTGCTTCCTCACTGTGATGTGAAATAATAAATTCAGTATTTTACTGCCACTTTAAAACTGTATATGAGCGATTGATCTCAAGGAAGCAGATCAATAAATAATTCATTGATATGCATTTTTGAATTGTTAATTACATTTGTTTTTTAAGGTTGCCTCTTGTTCTTTCTTATTGTGATGTAAATGAAAAGTATTCAATATTCTTTTCTGACATAGTTTTGCAAACGTTTTTTGTAGACAATTGATCTCAATGAAGTATAAAGATGATAAATATTCAATATTTTGTTTGCCTTTTTGCCTATACGTTTTCGAATGTTGCCTATTGTGCTTTGACACTATTATGTAAGATAATACCAAGAAGATCAATTGAAAGTCTTAAATGACTTAAAATAATGATTATTTTGATAATAAATAGAAACAGTGACAATACTGAT